ACACACACACCCCCCCACCCCGAGCATGTCTGCAGGTGCAGTGGCTGCCCCGGACTTGCTCTGTGCCTCTCCCCTCTAAGCAAGTGATGGGGAAGCAGGCTGGGGCGGTGCTGCCCAGGACTGGGGCGTGAGGAGGGCTTGGGGCTCCTGCAGCCCTGTGCCGCCATGGGATTTGGGGTGCCGTGACCCGCTGTCCTTCTCGCAGGATCCAAGGTGCTGGTGTCTTGCCCTGCCTGGAGCCTGAGGTCCCACGTGCCCATCCGCCTCCCAACGTCACCAATGCGACCATGGGAACTGGCAGTGAATAGGCGGCCACCCTCTGCCCCTTTTAACCAGCGCCATTTCTTGGGGGGACCCTGCAGCAGCCCCGACCACTTCCGGCGAAGGTACGGGGCGCAGGGCGGTGTGAAGCCCCGTCACCCATGGCGTGTGGGGATGCGGGGCTGTTTCCGTGGTCCTGCTAGGGCAAGCCACCAGCTTCCGGGAGGCTTGGGGGGAGATGGTGACAGGGGAGCACGCCCACCTGGCCTGGCTGATGCGTCGCCAGGGAGCAGGGTCCCTTTTGTGCTGAGGATACGGGGGGGGAGGCGGCACATGCAAGGTGAGCAGAGGAGCTGGTTCTGGAGCTCCGCAGCCAGACAAGGAGCCTGGCCTGGTATGCTGACCCTGAACATCTTGTCCTGGGAGCTGGGCTGGCACTGACCTGCCTGTTGCCACCCTGCCCAGGGCTGCGGTGCCCCTGGCCTGGGGGTCACTCCTGCTCTGTTTCTCTTCTGCGGTGGCCCCGCAGCCCCCCTGCCAGGCGTCAGTGGGGACGACGCGACCGACCTCTGGCAACCCTGCTGGGCCAGGATGAGCCCCAGCTGCACCCTGCCTTCCCCCAGCAGACGCACATCCCTGTAGATGAGCCCCGTGCCTACGCTCTCCCCAGCACGCCGCCACGAATGCTTCACCCGGCCGCTCACCCACCCCACCAGAACCCATTCATGGTGGATCTGCATGACCAGGTAGGTGCTGCAGCCCCCAGCCCTAGTTCTGAGGGTTGATCCTATGGTGATCCCAGGCTGGTGTCCGGGGCAGTGGTCCCAAGAAATGTCCCTGGTTCCCCTCTGGCCAGTCGCTTGCTGCTGGGAGCAGCCAGCCCTGGGCTACTGGTGCTCTTGTGCTCTGAGCACTTAAGTCCTGGGGTCCCCCTGCCAGCTTCGACGGTCCCTGCTTCCAGAGGCTTGGG